CTCAATGTATTCCTCTGTAGAAATAATAATAGTACCAAGCTTCATAGTTCGTTATAAGGATTAAAAGAATTAATACACGTAAAGGGCTTCGAAGGGTGTCCGGAATGTGGCGAGTGCTCTGTAAGTGTTGGAGTGCTCTGTACTCCATCACGACGCTGAAAAGGGGCTTTAGCTAACGGACAGAGATCACCTCCACTAAAGTAGTTCAAAGTCCAGCTTCCCAGAGGACTTTGATTCTAGTAAACTCACCGTACACCAGTGGTTGAGCCAGGACACAGTGGCTGCCAGCCCCAGGCACGGCTCAGCTTCTTCCTCAGGGTCAGGGGAGTATCTCAGTCGCCCTCCGTCTTCCATCCCCTGCGCCTCGCTGTTGTCAGACAGGGAACGCGACTCCCTGCCCTGGCAGTTGCTCCTGGGGATGGAGTCAGCCTTCTGTGCTGATGAGGCGAGGCTTTCTAAACAGTGGCTTTGTGTGGGGATCTTGCCCACAGAAAGGTTTTAGTCCCCCAAGGACAGGAGACTTCTGTGACCTCTGAGTCAATGCCATGGATATGGTCTGAAGATGCTGCGAATGCAGTTGGGGGGGGCCCCCCAGGAGTCCGGACTCGGGGAAGGGGCTGCGCTGCACCTGTGGCCCTGCCCTGTGGCCCTGCCCTGTGGCCCTGCCCTGTGGCCTTGTCCTGTGGCCCTGTCCTGTGGCCTTGTCCTGTGGGCCAGGCCAGGAATCGCTGCATGTTTTGGGGAGGAGGTCCTCCGAGGTCTTCCCCCTGTGTTCACAGATCTCTAAGATTGCAGTGTGACACTGCAGTGACCCTATTAATCCTCCCAGTGGGCAGTGGCGGGAAACCCCACCGCTCCTCCGAGGGCTGCTCCAGATAACTCAGGGAAATGTGGAGAACAGACACAGTGAGAACGGAGTTGAGTTGATTGTACTCCGGACTGAGGAAGGCAGCCACAGAAAATGCAAGACAGCCACTGAATATGGCCTCCCTTTGAAGAACAAAAGCAAAGAAAATTGGCTGACCAATGAGAATTAAGTGGTAACAATGTACTGAACAGAAATCAAAATCGGTTCTCAGCCAGCTCACCCAGAAAAATACAGGATCCTGAAGAGTAAAACTGAACTATGTGAGACCTTTGAATAGTGAAAATTTTACTTTGAAATGCCTTTATCAAGTGATTTTAGTGCTCATAGAGATGAAGTGAGCACAGAGCGCGGGCAGCCGTCTTGCCTTCAGGTTGCTGGTGCTTCCTGGGCTCCCCGGGCGCCCCGGCCGCCCTGCCGGTGCCTTCGCCTGCGGCGAGGGGCAGCTTCCCTCCGGGGCCTCTTGGCTGTTCCAAGTAACGTTGCTTTCTTTAGGCTCCCAAACCTTCTGAGTCCAGACAATTCCAGATTTCAGATTCGGCTGGGCAATGCTAGATTTATCTCGCTCAGCCTAGGTCCCAACCGCAGGAACATCTGCCCGGTCACCCTCTCCCCTAACCCCGAGTGACCACCTGGGAGCGTCAGTTTTTTTCAGGAAGAACTAACTCATTTAGGCCTCCTCCTCTTCACTTTACCAGACTTTGGTAGGAGACTGGCAACCAGAGACAAAACTGTCCTGGGTCAAAGACAATGCAGAACTGATCAGGAAAGTGTCTGAATCACTTCGTGTCACACTAGAAGACAGGCGGTACACTCAAATAGGGACGTTGAGAGTTTAACGAGGAGACTATCTGTAAAGGTGCTGACAGAGTCTGGGGGAACCCACAAAGGAAGACATAATGCACCAGGGCCACAGGCTGGTCTGGGCCTGCGGGGAACACAGCTGTAAGACACTGCCTGGCGGGAGCCACAGCCCACAGAGGGAGATTGCAGGAACGCCCTGCAGCCTGGCACAATGGGCACTGGGGAAGCCACGTGTGGATCTCACTCTCCCACCATCTGATCTCCCATCAGTGCATCTGTTGACAGAATCCCAACAAATCCAGAAGCCCAGGGACCCTGTTAAGGCAGTCCCTGAAAATCATCCTCTCTGGGCAGAGGGCCGAGTAGGCAAAGGGGTTCTGGAGGTGCAGATGGAAAATACCCAGCCAGGGTCACTCCCAGAGGCCACAGCTCCTTGGTCTCTAGCCAAGTGAAGCCATTACAAGACACAACTTCCCTGGCCAATTTCAAAGCTCTGCTTACTGCTGGGAATGCATGTTTGAACAAAGCCTTTATTCTCTATTCCAAGAGCAGGGCTGGAATTTAAAAAGCTTCATTTTCAAGACTGGCTGCTTTTGATCTGTCCAACCTGGAACTTACATTTTGGAGTCAAATAGAATTATTTAAACGAAGCATTTCAGTGATAAGCACAAAATGTTTTTATTTTATTTTTTTATCCTTCCCCTCTTCCCAACACCACACAAATATTTCTACTCAAAATGTAAGGACTATTCTGTGGCCAACTCTTCAAATCACAGCCTCTCTCTGCTTCTGTGTCCCTGGGTCTTTGTTTCTCCAGCCTGCGTCTCTATCTAGCTTTGCCTGTGCACAGGCCACGGCAGGGGCCTAATTTTCCCCCACACTGGCCTGGAGCAGTGTTTCCCTCCTCTGACTCCTGCTTTTGGGTTTGGCAGAGTCACATGTTGCCATCCAATTTTCTTTCTTAATTATACTTTGTTTTCATTTTGTTCCATGCACCCCCCCCCACCCCATTTTTCCTTTCTTCTCTGATTTAAGCCCTTCTCTGATATCATCTTCTATTCTTCTCAGCTGAACTTGTCTCCGGCTCCAAGCCCGCATTTACCTCTTTTATCATATTCTGCCTGCCCTGCCTCATCTGTTATTCAAGTGGGAGGGCTCATCACTATTTGCATTCCTTGGAAATAAGATGTCCTCTGTCCTGTCCTAGACAGAGTATGTCCCTCTGGGTCACAGCAAAGCTCAGCTCTCCATGCCATGGAGCACAGGAGGTGTCAGAGTGACTGTTATTGATGCTTGGAGTTGGCCTATTGGTCACTGAAAGTCAATCTGACATGGAAGAGCTACTTTCTTCACAGCTGTGAAAGCAAATGGACACAGTAAGGCCATGTATCCCCAGACATTAAAGAGGTACATCAGTTGGAAAACAGAGCTCAGACATGGCCTTGTCCAAGTGTGTTCCATACAAATAACAAAAATAATATGGAAATTCTATAGAGAGTGAGCTAAATTCCTATCACAATGATACTATACAAATAAAATGAAGGTCTAGACAGAGGAGCACTAATAAAATGCACTTTATGGTAGGAAGAACTGAAATGTTATAAAATGACTTTACTTTTGTGTTAGTGGTCAGTTATGGATCTTTGCTCAAGCTTACTGAGCAGAATCGCTAATTTTTAGGGCCAAGAGAAATGTGGACAGTACTCCATTTAAGAACAGAATCTTCTAATCCCAAAAGACAACATCACTGCGAAAGAATGAACATTTTGAATATAGGGAATATTCCATTTTCAGGCCCAGGGACTAGGCAGAATCAAAGCCCCTGTCTTGGTTGACTTTTCTGCACAGAGACCAGCAGTGACTAGGCCTCCATCAAGCACTAGTCCCTGCTCTTCCCTGCCAGAGATGACAGAAATGCAGCTCTCACCTCTGACTCCAAGAATACTACCAGGGAAGAGAAACTTCCACTTGGCTAATGAGGCTAGGATTCTCATCAGGTGAAGAGAACACACTCTTTAAAGACTGGCTCACTAAACCCTGAGAGAAAGCTTCGAGCTCAGGATATGGTTTATGGGCTCTTGCTATGACTGGAAATAATAATCAAGGAGGGAGAAAGACCTTGAAGAAGCTATGTCAACTCCAGTGTAAAGCAAAATAGACAATTTATACTACATATGCTTTGGCCAGCAGGTTCCCCCAAAAGAAGTGTATTGAAGGTACTGATACTGGCAGAACCACTGAGCCAGGGCACCACAAGCCTGTGTTACTTTGACCCATTCAGAACCACAAGTGTCTCTAAATTAACTGTAAGAAGCACATGTACTACATTTAGCCACTGAGTAGATTTAAATACAACTAGTACGTGCTCAGCTGGCCAGGAGTGGGTCATTTTGGAGCCCTAACTGATATTCCATGGGGGTTTGGAATGACGCTAGGTTACTACTTTATAAAAGTAAAAGCAATTGCAAATTGTTTCTTTAGAATTTGCTTATGAAGGCATTTATTCACCCAGTTTGACTTTGAATGGCAGGTGGCAAGGAGACCCCTATAACGCTAAGAGTAATAATTCATTTTCCTCTGTATCTAGCCTCATGACCTTCCCCAAAGATGTGTGCCCACCACCTCAGCAGCAGGCCAAGCTCATAATTTGCATAAAGGCTTAGAGGACCTTATTATATTCACCTCTTGTTAATATAAAAAGTAATGTGCATGGGTAACATCTGATTTTTTATTGAGTTAATCAATACATTGGGAATTTAGCAGCAAGTTAATGGCAAGCAGTTACAAAATCTCCTATTTATCTACGCTTAAAGTTGTCTTAAATAACCTATAGCAACCTAAAATCATAAGAACACATGTGAATGACTGAAGCACTTCTGCTGTAATGCCTATGGCAAGTTTATTAGTAATTAATTTTCTAACAAAGTCTTCTAGTGCAAAGTGCACATAATTATTTGGAACCTCCATTACCAAATTTGGCCTCTTGTTTTCCCCTATAAATAATTGTGCCTAAATATAAGAATTTGAAGTAAAACTGAGCAAGTATTCCCACAGGCTTGCATGGAGGGCATCTGTCCCGCTAAACATCTTGAGTTGATGTCAGCCGCAGCCCACTGCCAAGCCTCTTGGTGGCTGTCCTTTAATACCGTGTGCAGTTTACACTGCTTTGGTGATAACTAACTTCAATTTTAATCTGCAAACACATGGCAGGGCTCAGCAGAGATAAAAGGCTACGAGCTCGGCACAGTGCTGTCCTCTTCCCTTCTCTCCCCTCACTTTAGTGCTAACAAGAACAGTCTTGTTTCTGTACTGTCCAGCACTGGAGAGAACCTTAGGGTTTCTTTTTGGTTCTAGACGGGGCCATGGATTTAGCAGTGCCTTTGGCTACTGTTGCTTGGCTTGAAGTCGTAGGGGCTTTCTCTGTTTCTCCCTTGAGTTCAACAGGAAGGACTCTGCTAGATGCGAAACTTGAATAGCACAGGCCAACGTTGTCCACATCTACCTTCTTACTGGTCGCAGGAAATGTTTCAGAAGTGGACTACAAATAAAAGGAAAGTCCTGGATTAATTTTCAGACACCAAGTAACACACATCAGTTCAAAGAAGCAGGAAACCACAAAGTTTTCCAGTATTTGCAAGGTGGGCATTCTCTAGATACGGGATATAAACGACTCGCATTGTAAAATTATCAAACGCCAAAGAAAGCTCCTTTTGTACCTTCAAGCTAACTGAATTGCTTAGTGTTTGGTGTGGAGCAGACTGCACAGGCTCAATTTAAAAATCTCTGCCATGCAAAATCAAAGTAAATGTCTGGTAACATTTATACAGGGAAGTGCACTTGGACATACTTGTACTCATCTCATTTCATCCTTAGAGATTTCTACACCAGCTTGACAAATGTATGGATATCCTGACAAGTACACTGTGATTACTCTTTCCAAGCTGGGCACAAAGTGGCTGCATATGGCCCACACCCTCTTTCTCATCATTCTTCTGCATTAATTCCAGAGACTGGCTGCTAATTCCAGTCACACTACATGGGCAGGTCTGTAGACCTCTTCGAGTCTCAATTCCTGTTAAAAATTAGGAAAAATAATATTTGCACATTTACTACAAGGGGTTATCACAAGACTGTACTTCAGGGGTGGCCATGAAAGTACTTCATGGGCTTTAAAGTATGAAACAAGCAGATGGGATTTAACAGTCACTTGCATTTTCTTAGGTCACCTCACTCCACGGTAGAGGAGGAAGTGGTCTCAAATCCTGCTGTCATGAGGAAAGCAGAGTCCATTTTTACTTTAGGCCCATTTTAAAGGTGATCACTCTTAATTAAATGAAGCTGAGCATAGAGTGTCAAAAGAGCAGAGAATGTCTTAGGATACCTATAAAGGAGGACAGGGGCCAAGACACAGGGTAGAGATGCAGCAAGCTCTCATTTACACAGAAAGATCTGGGAAAGGGCTCACAAGTATAATATTCAGGTAAACTGAAAGTTGCAGTACATACGGGTTAATAATCAGGTTAACAGTTTTCAAAGAATGTGACAAGATTACATGTAACCCAAATGAATTTGGTGTTTCTTTGATCATTCAGGCTCTTATGATGCAACGACCATGTTTTATACCCAGTGGCAGGCACTTAATGTATATTACCCAATGAATACATGACCTCCCGGGGCTGCAGCAAAACTGTGGGTCATTTACACTTTTTGGTACCTGTATTTCAAGAAAGAAAACATCTACCTGATGTTTGCTTATTGGAGACAGCCCTTAAATGTGTGCCTTCTCAGATCATCACTTGTGTCTGACTTTATAACAGGGTACGCTAATTCTTGAGCAGGTAATACTTAAAAATCATTTTGAACCTTGAAAAACTGTATAAAATTTGAAATGTAAAAAGGTTATTTTCTCTAGTTTTCCCACACCCCAAGGAAACTTCTGGGTTGCTTCTCTGTGTAATCTTTTAAGAAGTAGAAAATATTAAAAATTCTTCAGCATTCATTAACACAGTTTGTATTCTCTTATTGAAAACTCCTTATGTTCAGCAGAAAGGTGAGGATGAGACATCTCTGATGTTCTAGTATCTGGCTGAGGACAAGTTGCTTTGCTTAGTATAGTTCTGGTCCCTAAGATACAGAATCTATCTTGAAAATTTCAATTCATAAAATTTAATTAACTTTACACACAAATCCTATTAAAAGGTGAATCTAAGTGTAACCTTCTCTCTTTTGACATTTCTACTTCGATTGTGAGTTATCATCCAAGTAGTTAAGGAAATGTTTTTCAACATGTCCACTACAACCAATATTCTATAGACTAGTCATTTTCTTTTTAATGTGCTCATATTCATATCTGGCTTGATGTTTCTATTCTTTCTCACTGTTCCATTTGTTAATGTACTTAAGTCATTAAAGTAGACTCAGAAGTTGCAGTCACCAGGAAAAAATACTCAGAAACTGTCTCTGTGGACAGGATTAGTGATGTAGGTTTATTTTTTTTTTTCTTTTTTCCAAAATCTCTACAGGCTCTGGTATTTTCTTCTTGGATACAATATCTAAAGATCATTATCAGAATATTGTGGCAAAGTGGAAGGAAAAAGAAAACTAAACCAAAATGTTTAGTTGCTTTGGTGTAGAAACTTGATTTTTTCTATTTCATTCTATAGCAAGATAAGAAATTTATATTCCTCAGCCACATTTATTTATAACTTTAGTGATTTCTTAAATAGGTGGTATATCCCCATGATTTAATATTCACAATGTTCAAAATCTCCTCCTTGCCCCCTAGTTAACTCAACTCTACTCATAAAAGACAACCAATATTGTCAATTTACAGTGTCCACTTCCAGAGAGATCTTATGCATCCTCAAGCAAATAATAGGTGGAATCAAATGAAATTGGTTATCATTCCATTGTCATTTCCTTTGGCTGCAGGTCAAAATCAGTCTAATAATGGCAATTTCATATGGTTCAATCTAACCTATCAACATGCTTTCTTCTCTTTTTTTTACACAAATGTAGCCAACTGTAAAAACTCTTTTACATCTTGATGTTTTCTCAACTAACGATTATCCTGAAGATCATTCCATGTCGATTCATAAAAAAGTCCTTATTCTTTTTTCTGGCTGTGCAGTATTCTCTTGTTTAGATATAACTTATTTAGTCAGTCCCTTCACAATGAATATTCAGGTTTTTTCCAGTCTTTTGCTGGTACAAATAGCATTGCTGTCAATAGTCTTGTACTTGTGTCATTTGCATATGTGTAAGTATATCTACAGGATATATATTTTAAAAGTGGAATTCCTGGGTAAAATTGTATATGGATTTATAATTTTGAAAGACACCACCATATTGCCTTCCACTGAAGTTGTACCAACTTATACTCTTACCAGCAGCATATAAAAGTGCCTGTTTTCTTATTTGTCAATTTGATGTGTTTTGTTTTTATTTTTGTTTTTAGAGATAGGGTCTCTTTGTGTAGCCCAGGATGGAGTGCAGTGGCATGATCACAGCTCATTGCAACCTCGATCTCCTGGGTTCAAGCAATCCTGCCTCAGCCTCCCAAGTACCTGGGACTACTGGTGTGTGCCACCACACTTGGCTAATTTTTTTTTTTTTTCATTTTTTGTAGAGACAGGGTATCACTATGTTGCCCAGGCTGGTCTCAAACTCCTGGTCTCAAGCAATTCTCCTGCCTTGGCCTCCCGAAGTGCTGGAATTACAGGTGCAAGCCACTGCAGCTGGCCTCAATTTGGTTTTAACACATGTTAAAACTAATATAGTTGACCATATTTCAATTTAGCTCCCAAATCAGCCTAATACTGGCTGCACTGAAACAAATCATGATATTTGTTCCTTCACTTCCCGGTAACATCAATGCAGATCTAATTACCTTTAAGCAAATGCTTAGAAGCTTCTATGTATATGTGTTTACCTTGTAAAATACTGTGTGTGTACCTTACATTTCTCTTAGCTAACTTGTAGTTGCATTAAGTTTAGGATGGCATTGTTTAGGAAGCAGAATCCTAATCGTTTTTCTAAAGAGTCTGAGACTCCCCTCTTAAATACCCTCTCATTGAAACTATTCACTATCAAAAAGATAGAACTATCAAAAAGATAGAACATGGATGCAGAATGGCCACTATTGTACCCTTCAGACTGAACTGTAATTTTTTTCACAAAGAGCCAAGCCTCTTATCTCCTTGGAAAACAAATGGCCAATGCAAATTCCAGCTTCCAGGCTTTACCTAGGAACATGAACAAATCTTAATTTTTGGGGGATTTCTTTTGTTAGGTTATAGATTATCTAAGTTTGGGGCTTCTCCTTTTCTTCTCTCATAGCTAGTGGGATTCCTCGGGGATCTATGCTGTCACTGATGCAATTTTATAGTTTTGTAAGTAATAGAACACAGAAATGAAAAATGAAATTGCCAAGGCTATAAGATCTTCCAGGTCATGAAAAGCAAATAGAAGATGATGAGCTCCCATAAGATTGTACAAAGGGGAGACAGAGGAATTTCAATATTCAGTTCTGGGGGCAAGATTCTAAATTATCATCAAAGGCTGTTGGCTATCCATTTATCAATGAAACGGAGGGCCTAAAAATCACTGTAGACTGTTCTCTGAAGATTAAGATACTTGTCTAATGTACTACTGCACAATGGTCAAGAAAACCTGGCTATCATCAGAAAGCATCTTAGAAATCAAAGAAAAAAATGTTCTATCCTTATATAAAATTGTGATGAGTTCACACCTGAAACATTGCAAACAGCTTGAACAGATAGAAAGGGACCAGAGAATGTTTACAGACAAGCTACTAATATGATTAAGGGTGGAGGTTTCTTTAGAAGAGAGCTCTTCAATCTCAAAAGATAAAGAATAAGAGGATATATATTCAAAATCTATAAAATGAAGAAGGGGGCAGATTTCAGCACTGTGGAGCCAGATGGCATCGCTGAGTGCTGCAGTCAGTCAGGATGGTTAGTTACACCAGGGGCTGCCCCAAGCAGCATTTCGATTGTTCTTCATCTTTGACAAATTTGTACCATTTGTGATAAGCTGAAGAATAGCCAGTTGTTCTGGAGGCAGAATGATGGAAAAGATGACCTTACAAGGTTCCCTCCAGTTTCACCTTTTTGTAATTCAGTACCCTTGGCCTGGTTTCTCCAGTTCATATTATTAATCTTGAAAAGGGGGCTCCATATGTGCACGGGGAGCTATGTTAACAAGAAAACTGGGCTAAATATACATATTTCATTATTCACTAGCATAGCTTTAACCTGACGAACTTATCTGGTGATAATGGATGCAAAACCTGTAAGCTCCAGGCATATCCCTGCAAGTTAATACCAGTGCATGATTACTAGAAACTGTTACCATTTCTCTGAATTTTGAGTAAAATACATGCTATTTAAGTAAAGTGGTTTATCACCATAGCAACCATTTCTAGAGTCACACATTCAAATTATAGGCCTGCACAAGGTCCAAATGACAAAATTCTGTGACAAGTTTTCTGCTATACTTTTGCGTGTACTAGTCACC